AAAAAAAATAGATTGATAACTAATGATGCAATTTGCCCAAAATATTTTAAGTATTGTGAGACTGTACCAAAAATAATATCTCAGAGACCCGGATGTGAGCATGTTCAAAGGACATAATTGATAAATTTTGCAATTAATGGGTCAAACAATAAATGTATATATATTAGGGATAGGAATGGGACACAAACCATACGAGTTCCGACCCGACCCTATTGGGTCGGATTTTTTAAAAAAAATTCGAGTTCAGGTCGTGTCGATTTTTTTTATGTGATGTTAGGGTTGGGTTTAGGGTGAAAAATATCCGATCCGAAAAATATATATAATTTTACCTTATATATTTAGGAATAATTACAATAATACATCTCTATATATTATTTTTTCAATTAAGTCATTATTTTTATTGAATAAAATATTTTATTATTTCGAGTTAGGTCGGTAGGACTAAAAACCCGAGCCGACCCAACCCGACCCATGCCCACCCCTAGTATATATGTTCTTTGATTAATTGAGCCATTTCATTTTGGGACAAAGCCAAGAATTTTGCATCGAAGGGCATCTTGGCGTACTCATTCTGATCAGAATCAAAGATTGGACCCATGGTCCCTAAAAGGTTAATGAATATAGCCCATTATGTTAGATTTGGGTCCAATTGCTTTTAGGTCCTTTTAGTTTTGAGATTTAGTGAATTAGATCCTAGCCTCTCATTTTTGGTTAAAATTGCTTTTTACGTCTAGATTAGGCAAATTACATATCGGTCTATCATTTTTCGATTGAAATACTTTTTAGGTCCCTTTAAATTTCAGGATTATAAAAATTAGATTATAACCCTCTCTACTTTAAATTGATAGCTTAATAATTAAACTCTGACAATCATTATATTCTTATTTATATTTAACTCATAAAGTTTTATTTTGACTCTATCCCTCACCACGTTGATGGTGAGAATAGGTGAGAGGGAGTTATAACCATGGTTTTAAATTTCAGGATTATAAAAATTAGATTATAACCCTCTCTACTTTAAATTGATAGCTTAATAATTAAACTCTGACAATCATTATATTCTTATTTATATTTAACTCATAAAGTTTTATTTTGACTCTATACCTCACCACGTTGATGGTAAGAATAGGGGTAAGTAAAATTCGACTCGAAAAATTATTTTTTTTAATTTTTTTTATTTGAGTCAACTCGAATTATCAATTCAGTTTTCGAGTTCGAGTCGAATTGAAGTTTTGAAATTTCGAGTTACTCAAAAAACAAAAAATTTGACAAATATATGTACTTAGTCATTTTTCATAATATGTACTTTCAGTTCCTCTTTTTTATAACAAATTTTATATTTTTCAATTTAGTCTCTCAATTTTTCATAATTTCCTTATTTCTTCAATTCATCCTTTATTTTAAATATGTTTTTACCAAATTTGAACCACATTCACATATACCACAATAGAATACCTATGTAACTCCAATTCTTACTTTTTTTTACTAAAATGTACTATTTTTTAGTCTCTTAACTTTGTATTTTACTCAATTTGGTCTTTTGACTACAATTGTTTGCAAATTCTTTATTCCCATCAATTTCTGACTTCTTTATATTCTCATCAATATTTTACTCTCAAAATATTTTCTTTATAATATAATATTATGAATATATTTTATAATTTAGATTGTATTTGATATATTAAATAACATTAAAAAGTGAAAAGAATATATATATATATATATATATATATGGTTAAACAAATTCAAAAAAATTGGAACAAATCCTTGCCATAATACTATAAATAATTATAATAAAACTAATATAGAAACTCAAATAATTCGACTCGACTTCAAAATATTTCAAGTTAAGTTCGGGTTGTAAAATACGACTCGAATAACTCAAATTTTTTTAACTTGACTTGATCGAATGTTCACCCCTAGGTGAGAGGGAGTTATAACCATGGTTTTAAAACTGTGAAATTAAATCTTATCCCCCAACTTTTAAGGATTAATAATTTTTTTATATTAAGCCTTGACCCTCATGTTTCTAATTCATTACATCTTTCATTTTAAAATTAATGAAATATTTAAGTTTTGGTATCCAACTTTTTCTAATTTAATTAGTAGGACCCTGTCAGTTTCGAAATTAAACATCTAGACCCACTATGATTTCATCCAAGTTCATTCCCCCCCCCCTCTCTCTCTCTCTAATGAGGGTTTTCACGTGAAAACTCTGATAATGTACTAAACCCTACAAAACATATACATATACATACATATATATATATATATAAAAGTTATGATCTCCTCCTTTTCTCGTTTGGAGTTTTAATTGAATAAGAATTGAAAGAACCAACTAGGTCTCACATACACATTAAACAAGAACCAATACATAACTAGAGAAGAAGTACTTAAAGTTACTGAAACTTGAACATCACGGCACAGATTTACGAAAGCAGTTAATACAATATGGTAGGCCGGTGAGAGCTTGAAAGAAGTCGCTACCTTTTTCTGCCAACAAAGTAACATAATACTTACTTCGACCTTCGCTCCTTGGCCATGGTTAAAAGTTAGAATGCGTAAATAAACATAGTGCTTAATAAATTATTCGTAAATCTTTTGGTTATGTGAGATCGTTTATTAAGTAACAAACTAGCTCTCGGACAGACAATCTTAAAAATAAACAAACGAATATAAACATGATATTGAAAATTTAAACAAACATGAATTGAGCATGAACAACTCCAAAGATAAACAAACGAACACAAACAAAGATTTGCTCGTTGAAGGTCGGTTCATTTAAACCTCTATTAAAATCCATTTACTTCCAAGCTTAACGTACGTTTTTCTTTTCCTCTTACTGCGAAAGCACTTGTTCATCATCTGCTGCTTGATGATGATGATGATGGGTTGGGAACTAAGCCATTTGCTTGCATGCAATTGGTGAGCGGAATGAAAGACTTGTTGCACGCGCAAAAGGTTGGTATTGCAGTAAAGCTGAGCACAAGGTTAATAAACGGGGGTACCTAATGCACCAGTAGCTCTCACTGTACTACTTGGTTTCTGGTTAATATTCGTGTTTATTATATGAACATATAAGAGTGTAACTTAAAAAGAAAATTTGAATATGCAAATGAGATTAATGTCATTATTGGCATGTTCTTCAACTTTTTCTTAAAGTTTGTTCTTAGATTTTCTCTTCTTATCACTTTTCATTTTTATTTCTATGTACTTGATCAACAAGCACCAGTGGTCTAGTGGTAGAATAGTACCCTGCCACGGTACAGAACCGGGTTCGATTCCCGGCTGGTGCATCCTCGAAGCAGTGATGATAATGCGCTGCATTCGAAGATTTGGGTTCTTCAAAATAATCTGCGTGATGGATTATACGATAGCGTTTCGGAGCTTCTTTTTTTATTTTGTTACTGAACAGATTCATGAACCGTCGAAGAGAACAAAACTATATAACTTTGATTTTATTTATATAGATCGGGAATAGACGATCATAAAGAATTCAATCTACCTTAATATTACACTCGTCAAATGGACACTTCTTCTGTCGTATTATTTTGTCATCTTGAATAGACGATCATGAAGAATTCAATCTTTTCACTGTAAGCGCAATAATCATCCCTACTTCAAGAAATACACCAGTCGAGAATCAAATACGGGTCTATATCGTGACAGGGTACCATTCTACCGCTAGATCATTGGTGGTTGCTAAACGATTGAAGAGAACAAAATTATATAACTTTGATTTCATTTATATGGATTGACTATATGATACTTTCTTACATTATCATTCAAGTGGGATTTGATTCTTAAAAATATATTAATAAGTTCGATTCACTAAATATTTTATAAAGAATATAATTGTATATCTTTATATCACACTCATCATATAGAATTTAAGTTATTATTAACGTATTTATTTCTTTGTATAAGGGTTACTTTCGCATTAATTTAGTTCTCGCAGTTGTTTAATTACATCAATATTTAAAATATTTACTATTATTTGAGGTTTTAATTTGGAATACATGGTTTAAGATTTAGGGTTTTAAATTAGAGTTTAGGGTTTAGGATGATGTAAAAAATATAAAAATACCACAGTAATTTGAATCATATTCTATAGTGAATTAGTGATACATCAACAATGCAATGATGAAATACAAGTTTAAATGATCAAACATGCAATCAAGAGTTCATCTTCGGATTTTCCATCTTGGATGCCTCGAACTCACTTGCTTGGCTCCTCGTCGTGCTCTTTTCAACGGGTGAGTACCGGAGGGGCAGTCATCGCATAGGATCCAAACGTTGTACCGGTCGTCCTCTGGCATTATAGTTGCCTCGATCTCTTCGTCTATCCTCTTCCAGATTCTAGACTGACTTTGAGCATACTGGAGAACGATAATCGTCTCGCTTTATCATCTCATAATAACATTCGCAGTGCATCGCCTGACCACGTTTCATTATAGCGGTACTCCTAACATATAGGACAGTGATGCTGCATAAAGTTCTCCTTGCAAACAATGATTGTTTTGCAAGATCCACACTTTTTGCTATGAAAAGAGTTATCCCGATCACCAACTCTACGGATCCTACCCTCATTGCAATGAAAGTGCTCTACTATCATCATCACAGAACTTGTAAAATATGTCTCAAAAATATTCTCCCATATTGACGCCACCATTTGAACAAAGTTTAGCAACCGGCTACTCTCTGTCACAAACCAAACAAATAACTTGTTCAAATGCATTTTTTGTGGAATTTTGATTAAAATTAGTTTTATAAAAGTTGCAGAGTCTTGAGCACTACAATTTTACTTTTATATGTTCAAGTTTTGATCTTTAAATATGCAAATTGATCGTAATTGTTATGTCATGTCAACAACAGCCTCACATTCCAAGCAAGTAAGCAAAAGCATAAAATTACAGTATCTTAAAGTGGTTAAATTTGTGGACTTTTCGAATGTTGAATGCAGACCTCATTTTAGCTGAATCCTTAGAAAACTGATTAAGATGCGTGAGGAGGCTAGGCGATTGTTTTATCCTTCTGCTAATTGGCTGCAGATTAAAGGTTGTTGGATTTGGGATAATATTCGGGAAAGAAAGGAGAAGGTTAGTTGGCATCGGCTTGTATGGTTTCCGGCTCATGTTCCAAAATTTTCCTTAATTTCTTGGATGTCGATTCTTGACAGATTGCCTACAAATGACAAATTGGCTCGGTTTGGTATGGTGGCTGATAATGTGTGTGGGTTGTGTGAGATTGGGATGAAATCTCGAAATCATCTTTTCTTGGAGTGTTCCTATGCGAGGGAGGTTTGGGGTGCTATAATGCACTCTTGTGGGTTGCAGCAATCGGAGCTGCACTGCTGGGAAGATAATCTTCGATGGATGGTCATGAATATGAAGGGAAAGTCTCTCTTGGTGTAAATTCTTAAAGTAGCTTGGACTGGATTTGTGTATTTCATTTGGGAAGAACGTAATCATAGCTATTTTAGAGGGTCGATTCGTTCGGCTGGTACAATTGTCAATATAATAAAAGAGGCTATTAAGATTAAGTTGTATAGATGTTACATGAATATGATTTTCCAAACATCTCGTCAATCGAAGGAGTGTCGGATTCAAAAATATTTTTAAAAGTGGACAAAAAAAGTTTAGAGTAAGTATCATTAGTATAATAAGTAACTGAATAAGTTTAAGATTTCAAGGTCAACAGGTATCCATCCTCGTGAAGCTGTGGCTCTGCCGATGTTCTATTCGTTACTATCTTAAGAACTGCTATAAATGTGTCCGTCAAAGGCCTTAATAAGTTGTTTTCATTAAACTACTTGAATTTAGCTTTTTATAGAATTTGTTGTGAATGAAAAATTCAACCTTTGAATCTGGGTAAAGCTAAAATACTTTCTAAAATTCTCAAAAAGAGCATATCAATCTTTAAATCTGGATAATACTTTTTGAACAAAGCATGAGAAATGTCTATAAGCACTCAAGTTGGAGATTTGTGTTGTCCAAGATAGTCTGATAATCAGATTATATGATAGAGCTTCCGAGATTCTTCTTCCTTTTCCTCTTGAGTGAGAAAAATCCGGTGATATGGTCCATGCACTCAAGTTGTTCGATAAAATTGCCGAACCGAAAAGTGTGCTCCTTTGGATCAAAGGTTACTCTAGGACTGATTGGACCAAAAATGGGATTCCATTGTATTTACACATGTTGAGACAGAATGTTAAGCCTCATAATTACACGTTCCCTTTCCTTTTCAAGGGTTTTGACAGAAAATGTCGAAGTTTTCGTGTGGGAAAGAGTTGAATTGTAGAGTTCATAAAGTCGTCGATACTACCGAAATGGCAGCTAAGCAGATTCTTGAACTAGATCCCGAAAATGGGTTGTGTAAACGTATTTGAATCTTTTAGAGAGAACAATATTCTCTTTTATCGCTGGAAGTCACTCAATAGATTCACGTATCCGATTGAATGGGGATTAAACCCCAAAAGCGATGAAGGGTTTGATCATAAAAGCTAGTAGCAGTTGGTGATGATTGACAATGGCATGCGCATGAAGAAACTCTGAAAAAAGAAAACAGCAAAGGGTGAACGATAATGAGGTTTTTTCTCCTGGCAATAGAGAAGGACCACTTGTAGGATGTGTTCTCTTTGAGATCTCGCAATTCGCTATACACTCTCCTTTGTCTCTGAGTAAGCTTGGCTTTGCTTTACAAATGAATGCCGGACTTATCATCCACATTGGTCCAAGTATATCCACTAGGGATAGCAAAAGGATCCGGTTGTTTCGCCGTTGAAGAACTCCACCGTTGCTGTTGCTTGCTAGTCGACAATGATCGACTATTGCTTCACCTCAGTCAAGCCGTCGTCGACAATGACGGTAACGATGAGTTATATTTATCCAACTTCAGATCATCCTCTGTTTGGCCTCTTCCAACTCCACTACTGGAAAAAATATCTAGGACTCGAGAGTGGGGTGAAGAACTGCTCCGTCGATTGGAGTTCGGCGAATTTCGTGAACGTTATCACCACCCTTACGGTCGGAACAACCGGAATTGCAACCTGCAAAACCCCAATAGACAATTAGAGACCAATCGTTGTCTGAAAAACACAAATCGTAAACAACATTGGTCCTACACGATTCATTTAGACCAAACCATGTCAAATTAAAATATATGACTAAAGGTTAAATTTGGAATAAAATATAGGGACTAAAATCCGAATTTGACCATTCCAAAAAATTAATAAGCCGCCGTCTTACCTTAACCGAAAATGTGCCCGGCGGGAATTTAGTGGTCAGCAGCTCTCGCATCAAGTAAAGGTAACAATTCATCTGTTTTTAAAGGAAATTGTTCCGTTAACCAAACAGACGGCCGCAAACTTCGAACGTACTCTTTCTCTTTCGTTAGCGGAGGCGGCAGTACAGGTTTCGCCGTCACGAAAAAAATCGATCTTCTAGGAGGCACCGTTCCAGCCGAAGGGAAAAAGTCCACACTCTTTCTCCCTACAGAAATCCACTCTCTATCTTCTTTTACGAAGCTACTGTGCCTTCTTCTCTCAGGCATTACGAAATTTGGTTTTCTCATACGAAGAAACCATCATCGTCTTCGTCGAGCTGTAATGGTAACACTTGTTCACTTCCGGCGACGTCGTTTTCGGAACCCACGACTTTTCGTGACCTGAAGCTGAAAATCACGTTATGTGCGTGGTACACTTTGGCTTTCCATTCACCGTCGCGTTTCCAGATCGTTCAGGTACCGGAAGGGGCTATTTTCCCGACGAACGGAATTACATAGCTTTCGAAATGAAAAGAGATTTCCATGTAGAAATCAGGCATTCGGCGGATGACGGCGATTACGAGAGGAAAACGGCGGCGCCACTTGCACCAGGCGGAGCGGTTGTGGAGTTTTAGTAGAACCAATGCAATGTCGGAGTTCCGGCGACGGAGCGCTTCCTGGAGAGAATTCCAACCCGCCGCGTTCTGGAGCATATCTCGATATCATATTATTTTCTTGTTTGTTCTGGAAGTCGCCAAATCTTAACATGTAAAATATATTATCACTTAGGAATTTGCTTTATCGAATGTGCAAACTTCGTGCCAAGGTTGGGCATTTCGATTCTTGAAGTCTTAGTTTTGCTAAGAATATCCTCATTTTCAGGCACTTGCTCAATGTGATATGGCCCTTACCAACTTAGGCATTATTAGAGTTGGTGCTGATGATTCTGCTGGTGCTGCTCGGGTACTTTCGAGATCTTCTTGTGCTAATTCAATTTCTTCGTGTTGTATCTTGTTCGTTTCTTGTTATTTTATTGTTCGTGGTTCTACGCACCATGATACCGGAACAGATGGTTGCAAGAGAACCCATAATTCCCGGAACGGACAGGGTTTATAAGGTATACCTCCTTGAACTTGGTCATTTATTCGGTTATTGTGTCTCTTTCGTTGATAATCTTTCGACTTTCCAGACCAGTATAGTTTTTACTCTAGAAGAAGGTCCTGACATGCTATTCAAAGCCTTGGCTGTGTTCTCTCTAAGGGATACTAATCTAAAAAAGGTAACTATAGCAGTGTCATCTTTGTCTTATCATTATCGGAGACGATTCTGATTGTTATCTCGCCTCTTGGAGCAATTTCAGATGGAGAGTCGACAACAAAAAGGGCATCCTCTGAGGGTCGTCGACGATTCTAACAGAGGAGTGTCATGTAAGTGTAGTATACTCGTATTCAGATAGAAAAAGCAAAACACATTTTTCTTGACAGTGGGATTATCATAACTAGTGATCAAATTAATGTTATTAATCCGTTGATGTGTGGTTCCAGGTACTTCGACTATCTTTTCTACATCGACTTTGAAGCTTCGATGGCTGAACCGCGTGCCCAAAATGCATTGGAACATTTACAGGTCAGTCATTTCACAGTCTTTTATTACGTCTCTAACTCATAACGACCATATTTTTCCTACCAAATCTCTTCCTTTTCTGGCCTGAAGAAGCAATTGGAATCCATACATTCTGAAATTTCAATGCGATGCTGGTGCTCGAGTCTGCATGTATTGTTTCTTTGAATATCGAAATCTCACCGGTGTGAGATGCACTCTTAACTAGCTTGATTTCCAAAGCTCTGGTGTGCGATGCACTCTTAACTAGCTTGATTTCCATAGCTCTGTTCGTTTCCTTTAATTCACGCGGAGTGAATCTGAAGATGAATTGTGTGCCCCTGGCAAGAATATGCCGGATTTCTCTAAGTCCTCGGTTCCTGTCCGATGGATATGGTTCTATAGATGGATATTGTCATAACCATTTTTTTTACTAAACAATTAAATATTATTTTTAAAACGATTATGACTTTAATTTTGGAAAAATTGGTGATTTGGAATTAATTTGGAATAAATTGAATAGAGTCGCCATCGACCTTTGGGTTAGGTAGGTCGAATACCTAAAAACGTCTTTTAAAACAATTTTAAGAAAAATCATTTTTTAGACAAAATTCGGTATGCGTTACCAAAGATTCATTTAAATGGATTCGGGAGTCGGTTACGTGTGGGGAAAGGTAAATACCCCACAACGCCCAAAATTGGTACTGTGTCGCTTACATGTCGTCGTGATGATGGAAATTACAAATCGAATATAAAGTTAAATTACGATTAATTTACTTCGAGTTAACTATTTAAAGAAAATCCTTTAACTCGATAAGAAATCTTGAAATTTGCAATCCTCCGTCGGGAAAGCTATTTCAACTATTTCTCTTTTGTAAAAGAATATTCTACCATTGATTATGTAAAAAATTGCGAATCAAATATAACTAAAAACGATGTTTACATACGAGTAAATTGATTAACTAAACGTGAATTGAATACAAATTAAAAATTTGAAATTTACATTCACATAAAATAAAATAAATTGTCACTTAAAATAACACACATTGCATCGTTTGAACAAATTAATTAGCAAAATATACTCGACTTATTTCAAATTTTTATGTCGTTAAAATGCCGTACCGGATCACACCACTTCGGTCAAGTGGTACTTTCCACGCTCATTCTACGTACTTGAAAATAAATCAAAAAATCATTCATGGATAAAAACGTAATATAAACAATTGTAATTACAAATACAAGATAAAATATTTACATTAAATGAAATTAAAAACATTATTTACATAATACAAATAACCAAATAATAAGTGCAATAAAATCATACATAAATGACTAAAATAAAAAAGAAAATATTATAAACCAAGATAAGATTATCAAAAGGTAAATATTTGTAATTACAAGGATCAAAAGGAAGAAAAACAGAAACTTGATGTACTAAAATAGTAAATACAAGAATTTAAGGGAGTAAATAGCAAATACAGAAGCTGAATAGGTTAAAAAACAGAAGAAAAAGAAATTTAGGGACCAAAATAAAGAAATAGAAACTAATGGG